AACCTAAAATTGGTAGAGGGAAAAATATTCCCCACCCCACAGACCTGAAAGATGCCCTTTTTTCCCATGTTACCCTTGCTTAAGGCTCCAAAGGGAAGTACTATTACCTTAAGCTATTTACTACAGAAAGTCTATTAGGTTGAAAATTATGAAATGTAGTTTTTTCTAATACAGTCAAATAATGAAAGGGGCAGGGACGTCTGGGTGGCTCAGTCAGTTGAGCATTCAACTCTTGATTGTGGCTCAGGTCATGAGCTCACAGTCATGAGATCAAGGACTCTCCTCCCCCTCTACCCCCTCCCCAACCCCCCCACAACTGTGCTGGGCGTGGAGCTTGCTTAAGATTCTTTCTCCCTTTCTATCTATCCCGCCGCCCACTCTCACTCACTCTCAAAAACTAAACTAAACTAAACTAAAATAAGACAATTTCATATGGTTCGACATACTTGGGCATTTACAGCAGATTTCTATAGACTCTACAGCTCCAAAGTATATTATCTAAACACATCAATTTTCCATAAAAAGAACATCGAAGTAAAATTATGAAAAGGGAATGAGGTACTTCTTCTCCCTCAAAGGAAGAAACTCTGACAAAATAAATTTCAAATACTTTTGGTTATTATTCTACATTTTGCTGACAATGTCACATTTGAGAGAGCTTTAGTTTTCAAAGTCCTTGCATCTGACCTCAACAATTTTCTGAGACAGACAGGCAGTTTATAGAAGAGGAAAATGACATTGGGAAGGACCTACTCATAGTCATTTAGCCAAGGAGAAGGAAAGCTGAGCTCAAACCCAGGTCTCCTCTCTTCTAGTCCACCCCTCACAACTTAATAAAAGTTTTTAAACCAGTGGTTCCTAATTTTGTTTCCTACCCCCACATCACTCACACAAAAATCTTATACCCATCAGTAATATTTATTTCTGACAGGGAGTCACTAAGAAGTAAGGAGGGGAAGAATGTTCAACCCCACCTACGGGCAGGGGGCGGGGGGGGGGGGGGGGGGGGGGGGGGGGGGTAGGGGAATAGAGTCTGAAAAAAACAAAAAACCCTGAAGATTTTCATATGCTTCTCCCCACTTTACCACAGTATTACTCTCAACCCCGATGGTTTTTAATGATCTAGGGATCACTGATTTCACAGTTGTATATTAGCTATCAACATTTTTTGCATGAGTAGTAAGTCATCTCTTTCTCGATTCTGGAGAGCTGCTACTTACCAGCATCTTTCCGGATCCTATAGAGAAGAAGATGTCCTTGTTTGGTGCCAACAAGAAGCCATTCCTCTGCAAGAGAAAAGAATTGTGAGAAAGGTCAATCAGCTTTACTAAAACCCTACTTCTTGAGCTGGGGCTTGTAATGAGAAGTCAAAGGGTCAAGAAAAGCAGTTGCTTTTGATAGCAGGTGTTTTGCAAAACTAAGGAATATTTATATTCAAGAAACGTTTGAGAACCAACCAATCAAAAAAGCATCATTACTAGACTAGACATATCAGGAAATAGAAAATGTCCCTGCCTTCACGGTTTCAAAATTAAACTGACCAAAAATAGGATGAAAATTTATATAATCATAAAATGGGGAGTATAAACATGAAAGTACGTCTCTAATGTCAGAAACAAAGCTAAAAGGTACCCTCTGGAGGCTTAATGATTTTACCTTAAGGAAAATTAGAAGTGCCACAGAGTATTAACCTTACAGAATTCATTATCTCAAAAGGCGGCCTAGCAGATCAAAACAAACAACTGCAACTCTCACACATTGTTGGCAGCAATATAAACCAGTACAGTCATTTTGGAAAAAAGTCTGGCAGTTCCTCAAAAACTTAAACGTACAGTTACCATGTGACCCAGCAATTCTACCCCTGGGCATATACATGAGAGAAATGAAAACATATGCTCACACAAAAACTTGGACACAAATGTTCAGAGAAGCAGCATCTGTAAAAGCCAAGTGGTAGAAACCACCCAAATGTCCATCGACTGATGAAGGGATAAACAAAATGTGGCAAATCCATACAATGGAATATAAGCCAGCCATCAAAAGGAATGAAGTGCTGACATGTGCTACAATAGCAGGGATGAACCTGACATTATGCTAAATGAAAGAAGCCAGACGAAAAAGGCTACAGATTTTATGATTCTATTTATATGAAATGTCAAAATAGCCAAATCTATACAGACAAAAAGATCAGTGGTTGCCTAAGGCTGGTGGGCTTATAGGAAAATGAGGGAGTAAAAACTAAGGGGTATGGGGCTGATAGGATAATTAAAATGTTCTAAAATGGACTGTGGCCATACTTGTACAACTCTGTGAATGTACTAAAACCCACTTAACAGTGTAGTCTAAATGGGTGAATTGTATGGTATGTGAATCACATCTCAATAAAGCTCTTATAAGGAAAAAAAAAAGACGATCTAGGCCAGTGAGTGGTTCTTTGGTATGTATCAAAATTATCTGAGGATTTGTTAAAACACATTGCTGGCCCCTGCCCTCAGTGTCCGAGTCAGCTGGTCTCACAGCAGCCCTGGAAACTTGCATTTCTAACAAGTTCCCAGGTGATGCTAACACTGTTGGTTCAAGGACTGCTTTGGAGACACTAAAATGGTCCATGCAAAAAGTAAAGAGGCTTCAAAAGGGTTTATTTAAATAATTACCCTGACAGATGTATATTAACTCATTAAGGTAAGTTAAGCATGTCCAGGTACTTCCTCAGCTTTTTGATGTTGTAACAAACATAAAGGTCGTTCATTCCTTTCATAAACTCTCTTGATCCTTTACGAGATAAAATATTGAAAAATGGTACAAACAGATACTTTATTGAGAATGTATTGTGTTCCAGGAAATGCTAAGCACATATCATATGTTAACTTCACTAATCCTCATAACTATCCTTTGAGGTGCATCCTTCTGATAAAGCCCCATTTTATAGATGAGGAAGTTGAAGCCTAGGGGATAAATAATTTGTCCCGATTCATACATGTAGTAAGATGTGTACGGAAGCATCAGGACGTAACTACATGCTGTGATGTACTTACTAAGGCATCACATGTCAAAAGAATGGATTTTGGCCAGAGGTTGTCTGAACGACACTGGTTATATTTCTAAAAACAGGTAGGGGTGCCCTGGTGGCTCAGTCGGGTAAGCATCTGATTCTTGATTTCAGCTTGGGTCACGATCTCACGGTTTGTGAGACTGAGTTCCACGGAGGGCTTCCTGTTGACAGCATGGAGCCTGCTTAGGATTCTCTCTCCCCCTCTCTCTGCCCCTCCCCCACTGGTACTCTCTCCCTCTCTTTCAAAATAAATAAATAAAGTTAAAAAAAATGTAAAAACAACAAAAACAGGTCAAAAGCCACTTCAGGAACATTTCTCCTGATTGGAGAAATCCTCCTAAGGTTGATGTCCTTAGTCTTCCAGGAAAAGATAATGACTCTGTCTTCTTTTATTTTGTGTTGACAAAGGAAATAGGAGAATGTGTGCCTTTTTTTTTTTTGAGAGAGAGAGAGAGGGAGAGGATGTGTGTGTATGTGCAGGAGAGGGACAAAGAGAATCTTAAGCAGGCTCTATGCCCAGCGTGGAGCCCAACGTGGGGCTTGATTTCACAACTGTAAGATCATGACCTGAGCCAAAAACAAGAGTCCAGTACTTACTGGACTGAGCCACCCAGCCTCCCTAACAGTGCATTCTCTCAATGACATAAGAGAAATCAGAAATAACACTAGCTCTAATGGAATGCTGGAGATTTGTGTCAGAAGAGAACACAGAAAACAAAAGAATTAAGTTCACAGTGCTTGCTTTGTAAAAGATATTGGGCTCAATACTACTGTATTGAGCAAGTGGTAATCCTAAAGTTGATTTTTAGGACACCCACTGCTATTTCAGATGTAAATAAAATGAAGCAGAAAAGTATTTAACTCACTTAAAACATACATAAAAATCTATAACCAAAAGGCCAACATAATATAATGTTCACCTTCCCTTCCCACTCTGCTTCCCAAATCCCTACTGTTTTTCTTTGTGTCTTTGAGCAACCTATCTTTACACCCAGGTCTGCAACGTCTATCAATTTCACCTCTGTAAGGTACCTTGCAACAGCCGTATCCCAGGTGTCCAGTAACCCCTGTGATGGCCTCACCGGTCTCCCTATATGTGTCCTTCCATGTTTGCTATAGACAGATAGCAAACCTTAGACAGATCTGTGATACTGTCACACTGGGGCTTAAACCTTCATGAAGCTGCACCACTAACAAATGAAGTCAAACTTGTAAGCATGACATTCAAGAGTCTACTTTCCATTTTTATTGAAATGTTTACTTGCCAATAGATGTTTCTTATCAAATGCCTACTCTATTGGTCATAAAGTGGAATCAGACAAATTCATTGTAAATAAATAAACAAATAAATAAATAAATAAAATTTTTAATTGAGATTTTATTTGGCCCTTTTCACGTTTTCATTTGAAGGTGCTGGGGAAAAATGCATTTATCATACATGCAAAGTATAACAGCTTTCTTTTATATAGTAAAAGCAACACACACACACACACACACTCTCTCTCTCTCTCCTAATACTCAAACTCATAAGGGAAAACAGTGCATCATCCAGATGTGATAATGGCACAGAATCTTGAAGAGGCTTGATTTGGTTTTGGAAGTCAGTGGGTGCTCAGGTGACCAGAAGACCTGAGCCATGTTGGGCCTCCACATTCTATGACATGTCATCTTATAATACAATAATGGATACAAAACAAAGAGAATGAGAAGTCTGCAGAGCAGGCTCAAAATTTGGGTAGACAGTCCCTTCTGAGACCCAATACAGCAAATCAGAGAGTGGGACACACTACATAAACGGTGTATTCTGTGGATAACACATACATAAACAGATGTCAATCAGCCCTAGAAAATTCCTGACAGACTAATCCTGAGCCACAAGTTTGGAGCTTATTCCTCCTGGGAAGTGAGGAAGTGCTGAGCCCTCTTGCTCATAATAACCCTAATGAAGATCTGTCCAACAGTGCAAACCCAGCCCAAGCTCATGTGATATATAATTCCATTCCTGGCCCTATGCTGGCCACTGCAGGGAATACAGAAATGGAAAAGGTAGTGGTCATTTTCCTTTTTTGGGGGGTCATAGAGCAAAGAACAGTGTTTCTTAAAGCATAATCCTGATTAGCTATATCAGAACGACTTAAACTTATTAAAAATACACATTCCTGAGTGCTGATCTGATTTAGATACAATAAATTCTGCAAGAGTGACCCAAAATCTGCATTTTTGAATTCAATTTTTTAATTATACAACACATTTATGTAGTTTCAATGCTAAAACTGTGGGAAGTCTAGCTTCCATTCTTGTCCACTCTCTCCTGTCTGCTACAGGCAACCATTTTAGTCCTTTTTATCTTTCTATTGTTTCTTTGGAAAATATAAGAATGACTGCATATACACACATACACATACACACACACACACACACACACACACACACACTTGCATTTTTCTTTACAGGTTCTGAATATATATTAAAGTTTGGGAACCAGTGTCTAGAATCAGACATGATTTACTGGATATAGGACCTTGGAAAAATTACTTAAATTCTCAGGTTATTCCTCTGCAAAATGCAGTTATTGTTTCATAAAAGCTTAATACAGACTAGTACTCAATAAACAGAAGCTATTACTATTAATATCATCATTCATTCATCAAACATAGGTTTAATGAACACCTATTATGAAGAGCTATTCTAGGAACTATAAAGCAATATACAAAACAAAGTTCCTGCTCTGAAGGAACTTCTATTCTAATATGGAGTGAAAGAGACAATAATATAATATAAAACAGCATTAAGTAGCAATCCATGATAAGAAGAAGGATAAGCCTGAGTAAGAGAATAGCACATTGTCTTTTATATAGCATAGTAGGGGAAAGAAAGTCTTGCTAATTTATGTGGCATTTCAGCAGAGACCTGAAGGAAAGGGGGAAGGAGCAATGTAATATTTAGAGCAAGAGAGTTCTAGACAGAGGAAAGAGCAAGTGCAAAAGCCCTGAGGTAGGTACATGCTTTGGGTATTATGGAATAAAGAAGACTGTGTGACTAACAGGACAAAGGAGACGGGGTAAGAGCACAGGAGATGGGGTGGATGAGGGGAAGTAACTAGAGGCCTGATGATGTCAGATGTGTGAAGCACAGAAAGGGCTTTGGAACTTATTCTAGTTGTGACAGGAAGCTACTGAAGGGTTCTGAGCACTGGAGAGATGCGATCAGATTAAATTTTCAAGGGATCACTCTACCTCTGTGTGGATAAAAGACTGAGAGCAGCACAATAACAAACAACATGGTGATCAGTCAGACAACTACTGCAGTAATCCAAATGAGAGAGGTGGTGCTCTCATCAAAGTAGAAACAGTACAGATGGAGAGAAGTGACTGGACTCTAGACTTATTCTGAAAGTAGGGCACACAAGATTTGCAGGTGGACTGGATGCAGCATGTAAGAGAAGTGAAGAATGATTCCAAGGCTTTTGGCCTTAGTAAAATAGGTACATAGAAATGTCATTTGCTGAGATGTGGGATGCAGGGGGACAAAGCATGTTTTGGGAGAGTGGAATCAAGAACCGTTGTGGCCATGCTACTAGACGTCCAAATGAAGGTACTGAAAAGTCAGACGGATTCTACAACTCTGGAGTTTAGGGAGAAGTCATCATCAGCATCCTCATCTCCATTTCCCTCATTTCCATTTCCCAAGAGATGGACTATGGTGTCTCTAAGACATCTTCCAGCTCGAATGCTGTCTGGCCCTGCATGATCTGGTTTCTGGAGGTTCCTGGATGAATTTTAGGTAAAAAGGGTAACGACTAGAAACAGTAGTATTTACTGCTGCTCAGGTCGGAAAATAGTTTTGAGTCAAGAGTTGGTAAATAGCCTCTTGTAGCCTAATACCTACTGCAGCGTCCTAGGAGGTAACGAGCCCGTCCCCTGTTGGGATCAAGGCAAAGAGCTACCTACCATTTCAAGTTTTAATTTATTTACTCATTTTAAGTAATCTCTGCACCCAATGTAGCGCTTGAACTCACGACCCTGAGATCAAGAGTTGCAAGTAGAGAATTGATAAGTGTCAGTTTCAAAAGTGATTTTGTATTTAAAGTTTCTGGCTTAAGTATCCAATGGTGCAGATTTTGAAATTTGTAAGAACAAAATTTGTTTTTAAAAAAACAAAAACTTGCTCTAGTTTTGTGACCTTGTGTACTTTTGAAATAAAATGAAGAAAGCAAAAAAAAAAAAAAAAAAAAAAAAAAAAAAAAAAAAAGAGTTGCACGCTCTTCTGAGCCACACAGGTGCCCCATCCCTACCATTTCAAAACTATCTTTCGGGAAAGCTCAAGTACAGGGAACCTTATGGTGACAAAGTGGAGTTGGTGAGAGGCTGAGACACATGTACTACTAGTTCCAGAGAGTATCAGTCAAGGATTCTGACAAGTATGGTAAGCAGCTGCATTCATCCTTTTCAGAAGCATATGTCCTAGGCTGAGTTGGGTACCTCTCTCCCATGTTTCTATATTAGGCAGCATATGCCTCCAGTATCATTTATCTTACATCATAATCCATTCATATGTCTTTGTTTCTCACTCTGTGTCCTAGGAGCACAGGCACTGTTTCCTAATCATCCTTTAAGCCCTGTCTTTAGCAGAGAAACTGGTCCATATACATACATCTAATACATATTTGACGAAAAATTAGGGGAATGTGTCCCTTTGGACAGTGTCAAGTCTTTCATTTTTTACATTTCTTTTCTCCTCTATTTATTTATTTTTTTTAGTGTTTATTTATTTTGAGAGAGAGAGCATGTGCGCACACATGTGTGCAAGATAGGGAGGGGCAGAGAGAGAGAGAGAGAGAGAGAAAGAAAGAGAATCCCAAGCAGGCTCCGCACTATCAGACCCTATGCAGGGCTCAGTCCTATAAACTGCCAGATCATGACCTGAGACAAAATCAAGAGTCCGATGCTTAACCAACTGAGCCACCCAAGCGCCCCTCCTCTGCTTATTTTTAATTTTTACTGAGCATTTAATCACAGAAAATGGAGGGTTTCTTGAGATATCCAGAAGAAGCAAGAGTCTCTCCTTAACCCAAGGGACTAAGACAGCTGTGAAGGTGTGATTTTAAAGCCCAAGGCTGCTAAAGGCAAGACAGTGCAAATTAACATGAAGACCTGTAGTGAAAGTACCTTACTGAAGAGGCTGTAAGGAACTCTGCAAGGCTGACTGGGTGGTACTGTCTGTAAATGATCCAGAAGACACCGGCCACCACCAAGATTCCACCAGGCCCATCTTAGGCACCTAGCTCAGTATAAGATCTGATTAAGACTTCTGGGCCACTTTTTTATGGCCTTTGATTTTTAGCACCTGGACATTAACAAGAAAGACTTAAATTACTTGTTTGGTCTTCGGTGGCTGTTATCAGACACAAGCACTCAAAGATAAGAACATAACGTTTATAACTGAGAGTCAAGGTTTAGACCCCTGAAACCATTTTCATTCTAGAGCATACAGGAGATGCCAGACCCTGTTTCTGTACTGACCAATCCCAAGAGGATTACACAACTTTTTAATGGGTTAGATTCCATGACAGCCTGGAATGATGCTCTTCTACCCACAGTTAGGTAACTTGGGACATTTTGAATACAAGGCAATCAACCACTTGGCTAAACTGAGTTTAGAACAACAACGTGAGCTACCTAGTGACAAGTGACACTGACAACTGACAAGTGAACGATGAGTGATTACTAAGAAAAAAGGCATACGGTATTAATGTATTTAATGCCCCCCCAAAATAGTGTTGTCTTTCACCTAGAAAACAACAATCGTCTGGACAAGTTCAAGCCCCCGGTAGGTTGAAAACTCCCCAGTGCTTGCCCCTCCAAACTGAAGACTTCTTGGGAATCGAAATGACCCAAAGCTGAGCACAGTTAATAAGAAAAGTTCAACCTTCAACTCTGTACCGAAAGCAAGGATAAACGTACCGAAAGTCTGGGTCCCTGAGGACTTGCCAAACAGTCCCATTTGACCTCGCTGTCTACAATACTATGCCCTCCCTCATCCCATGCCTCTCGGACAGCGTCCGATCGGAGTCCATACAGCCAGACTCCTGTCCACATCCCCAGCCTTGTGAAAGGCAGGAACCGCTTCTGCGCTAAACCCGCCTCGGGCCCTCGGCTCACCCCAGGCAGCCAGACAGTCGATCTGCAGAGGCAGCTTTTCCAGGATCGGCACTGGCTCGAAGGCGTCATGCATGGCGGCGAGAAGAGTCGCCGCAGCAGTCTCACCCGAAGTGTGCGGGGATGGGCCAGGTTTGGGCCTGGGCCGGGAACCAGCCCCAAGGAAGGGCCAAGCGGGACGCTGACCGAGACCCTAGCTACAGGCCGTTTGGCAACACGGCCAACACCGGACTTCCTGCCGGGCTAAGCCCGCCCCTTCCGCAGCAGAAGCCCGCCCCTTCCGCGCAAATTCCTAACGCTCTTTCGAGGAACGCGCCGGCGCTAGGCTTCCCACCTTCATCCTAGACCCAGAACTTGTGTGTCATGGAGCCTGATTAGCGACGGGGCTGACCTAAAAGGCGGAAGGGGGGAGGGGGAAGGGCATCTTGGAACTGTCTCAGTGTAGCACGGTGGTGGAAGCTCGGGCCATGTCCCTTAGTCGGGATGGAGACCATTTAGGAAATTAGCCTTTGTTTCTTTATCTGCTAAAGGATGGTAATGTTCCACACTAACTTGGTGTTGTGGACATTAGCAACTCCTGACACACTCTAAACACCCAATAAATGGTGGTTTTTGCATTACCATTATAATCCCAACCACTTCAACTATTTTACCCTTTTTTTTAAAGGTTGTTCTAGGCCAGTGGTTCTCAAAATGTGATCCCTAGACTAGTAGTATCAACATCACTCAAACTTAGTGTGAAATGTAGCCTCAGGCCTCATTCCTGCCCTACTGGATCAGAAAATCTGATTGGGGGGGGGGGGGCTAGGTGTAGGTCCAGCAGTCTGTGCTTTAGTAAATCCCCAGAGTGAGTCCATGGACTTTAATGTTTGAAAACTACTGCAATAATGAGGTGTATCTGGCAACCCCCCCCCCCCCCCCCACACAATACACAAAGAATATAGCAGGTAGGTCATTAAAGCACTTGAGTTTAAAACATAACTCTACGATAAGTAAAAAAAACTGGCCTTGGTCACTTTATTTTTATACAATGTCAGTTTCTTCACTTGTAAATTAGGATTACTGTCCCATCTTTACCAAATGCTGTTTCTGATAATCCAGTGAAATACTTTCAAAGTGTCAGTATTAACACAAAAACTGCTAAATAAATCAAGCATTATGGGTGATTTTCACCATAGAAAATGAACACCTTGAAAATATAGAACTGCCAGCTGCTGTCCTGAAAGAAGGCCTGATACCTAGCAGTTTCAGGCCCAAGGACTAAGACCGATATAAACTCTCAGGTAACATGTCAATGTAACAACTATAAATTACTTCTGAACCAGTTCTAAGAAATGATACGCTGTATGTAATCATAGTGCCATAACCCATAAGAGAATGCAGAAAGAATTATCAGGTACAGTCTACAAAATTTGTTACTTTACACTACTGCTTAACACCTTAAGATTTTTCCCCTAGTCTTAAGTCAACATCTAACCACCCTCAAAAAATATTTGACCAACTATCTTGGTGCATTATAACTATTATTCACTTGTTAAGTGTCTCTATGGAAGAACAGCACACAACAGTACCACTAGCCCTTTGCTAATGGATTAACCTGAGAATATAGTCAGTTCTTCGTATGTTCCTTAGAGATATCGCCTAGGTGACTTTTTTTTTTAAATCACCACAGCAAAGAGCTATACAGAGATGTTAAATAAATGTAAACACTTCCACTATAGTATGAGTTAGTAAGATTGTGGTCATGTGGTCAACGGTTTCAACAGATAGTAAGACAATGTAGAGTAAAAACCATGAAAGGAAAATTCCCACAAGAATTTGGGAGAAAGGATGGTCTTTAGAGAAAGTCTGAAAAAAATGAGGAAAATATATTAATTTTGTTAAAATTTTTTATATTAAAAAGTGGCATGAACTTTCTACGTAAAACAAAAATCTTGGGAAGGCAAAATTGGACAAAACCATTAAAACAAATATAGTGCTTCAAATGAATCCCATCACCTTGTGATGTCTCTTATAAACAGTCTCTAAACCAACACCAGGTATAAGAACAGTCGATCCTAAAGAATGAGCAGCAGTCCAGGGCCTCCACGTTACTTCATGCAGGAAAAACTGTTTCAATTAAGCCAGAAGGACCTGTTTCCTTTGTATTAGCTCCTGCTTCCTAAGCATTACAGTTCCTTTAGCAGGGCACTCATTCACAAGCACTTAGACGGAGTGCCTCTCTGCATCTAGTGCAACACCCAGTGAACGGCATGAAGGCAAACAAAGCACTGCCTAGGACTCCACAATGCCACCGCCCTTGGAGGCTTACAAAACAGTAGTTAAAAGTTCTGGAGTGTGCACCACATTGCCAGCAATGGGATGTGTCACAATAGCAGATGTCAAGAGTTAAGCTAATATTTCTCTCTAAAGTACATCTGAGATAGAAAAATCTTTAATATACACCATTTGTAAACAAAATTGCACTTGATTTTTTTTTAAATGATCTGAATCATACTGTAACAGTTTGCTTCTCTCTTACATACTCTTTTGTTTTTGTTTTAAATCATCCATAGAACCATGGCTCCTTAGCTCAGGACTCTTTTTTTCTCAAAATTACCTCTGTAAGATGTAACCTTGGCTTCTCAGGAAATGGAAAGGTAATTGATAATTTCCCCCATCACCTGTGTAACTCTCTAAATAAATAAAAATTATAGGCAGTTGCTCCTGGAGATTACATATTATGGCGTTGATGTCATAGTTCTTTAGAAGATGTTAAACTTTTTAGTTTGATAGATTAAACAATTTAAACGTTACAGAAGGTTCAGGAACAACACACATAAGTTGCATAAACATCCATGTCAGGGTGTGGGAGGGAAAGGGGCATCAATGTTGTAAATAAAAACTTGTAGATTTTTCTTGTCCTATGAACTTGTTTTCAGTAAGATGTTCTCCTTGTTCTGACACCTCTCACCAGCTCCAATGCACAAAGGTCAAGGAATAGATCAGGTTTCACTGCCTCCTTTAATTCCATGGAGGAGTGTAGAAGATTGACACAGAAGCTGATCTCTTCCGAGTTACTACCCATCTTCAACTGCACATCTTCCCATTCTTTACTCCATTTTGGACCTTTCAAAGTGTGTGATCATTCGTTCCTAGGGGGAAAAAAAGTCTTTTCTAAGCATATTAATTTTATTTTATTTTTTATTTAAAAAAAAATTTTTTTTTTCAACGTTTTTTATTTATTTTTTTTGGGACAGAGAGAGACAGAGAACGGGGAGGGCAGAAAGAGGAGACACAGAATCGGAAACAGGCTCCAGGCTCTGAGCCATCAGCCCAGAGCCCCATCGCTGGGCTGGAACTCACGGACCGCCATGAATGCGGATCTGGCTGAAGTCGGACGCTTAATCGACTGCGCCACCCAGGCGCCCCTAAGCATATTAATTTTAAATGGTCTACATTCCAAGTATCCTCTATAAAGAGGATGCACACACACATTTCCCACAAGTACTTTTGCTTATGTCCACTAAATATTTAGAAATGGTTCCTATCTATGAAGATTTTGAAACACACAGATACCTAGGCCCCACCGGAAATCAACTGAATCAAAATTTCTAGGTTTCTGGACACCAAACCACAGATCAAAAGGAACTGTATCTTTCTGAGTCAAATAAGATGATTAAACAAATATTTACTTAAGATTAAGCTTAAACGGGGGCACTTGGGTGGCTCAGTTGGTTGAGTGTCCAGCCCTTGATTTCAGCTCAGGTCATGATCTCATGGTTCTTGAGTTTGAGCCCCGCATTGAGCTCTGTGCTGGCAGTGCAGAGCCTGCTTGAGATTCTCTCTCTCCCTCCCTCTCTCTGCCCCTCCTCCACTTGCTCTCTCTTTCTCTCTCTCAAAATAAATAAATAAACTTTAAATAACTTAAAAAAAAAAGATTAAGTTTTAATGAAAATGTGGACCTCCTCTGATTCAAGAATTTAACTTGAAGAAAATGTCAAGGATGTGGGCAAAGATTTAGCCAGAAACATTTCTACTGCAAAACTCAAAATTATAACAAAACAGAATTAAATGTTCAAAAACACAGGACTGTTTAAACAAAATATGGTATATCCTTAAAATGAAAGATTACACATTCATTAAAATTACACTTGATGAAAAAGTTCTAGAGATCTGTTGTACAACAATGTGCATATAGTTAACACTATGCACCTGACAATAATTAGGATGGCAGATTTTATATATTTTCATAATTTTTCTAAAAATCATGTTAAAAATTAGGTCTGATTAGAAAACAGTATTTATATATGCCATTTCAATGAAGAAAATTAACGTGTTACCATTAAATTTCCTCTCTTATGTAATTTCTCACCTTAGAGTTAACATTTTTCATTTTGTGTTGTTTCATTTGCTAAAAGCACATATCACAAATTTATCCTGAACTGTAACAGAAGTGTAGATACTGTTTCAATATGATCAATTACATCAGCCAATCTATCCTTTTTATTTTATTCTTAGAACTACTCCTCCTGAAGCTCTCTGGTCTGCTCCATTCTGGACTGGATGCCCTCTAAGACTGTCACCCAGCTATTGGTCTTGGAGTTTCTTTTTTTTTT